GTACATCGGATCATCGAATAATTTTCTCAAAACGATAATTAACGAAAATTAAAGAAAAGTTAATATAAGTAAAAAGTGCTACATATGTAATTGAATGTTGCGTTTTTAATCTTACATGAGGTCATCAAAAAGTTTGTGGATTAAATTTTGTATTGACTTCAATGAGGTCAAAAATTTGATCATGAAGTAGTAAAAAATCAAGAGTGTAATTTTTTGTGTTAATTTCATTGAGATCAAGAATTCGATCATTAAGTAATAAAAAATTTAGGCAGTAATTTCTAGGACAAATTTTAATGAAGATTAACTACAAAGCCACGAATCTGTTAATGAGAAATGATCTTTTAATATTTGCAAGAAATAATTATTTTCACAGCTATCATGTATCAAAAGAGTCCTATGACTCTTTTGATCTGAGGCGTTTGAGTTCACGTTTTATCTGGAGGGTAACGTTTTATCCTGTTTCAATGATACTGTTTTAATGGTCACATTCAAGTTAAATATAAAAGCTTCACTCAAAGAGGAGATGACTAAAGTTACCTCATAATTCCCTGCTACTGAGTAGGTATCGACATGCTGGTATTCACTTGAACGGTGACAATTATTCACCATGCATAATTGAAGTTAAATTGCGGTAATGTCTGCACAGAGTCAAAATGAGACCATGAACCATGGCCGAATACGAGTTAAATTAATTTCAATTAATTTTCATCCATATTTATCCTCGAAATGATGCTATTATACTTAGCTTTCTGCTATTCTATTTGAATAACAACCAGTTAATTTTAGTGAAATTCTAACTTGAAGTATTTCGCGAAATGTTACCGAATTTACCACTAATTAACGCGACACCAAGAAGAAATTATGTGAGAATGATACTTCATTCGCACGGAATAAACGAATGTCATCTGATGTTATATCTCACAGAAAATTATTATCTGAGATATTGTTCATCATTGTAAGGCTGATTAAGAGCCTATAACCCTATCAAGTCGATACAGCCAAGAATATAAGATTAAATATTTATTTGATAAGGGGAAACTAAAATAAATCGTTTACAACACAAGCAGCGAAAAACCAAGCTTTTTGAAAACTTTCAACTTTTTTGCTACCAATGTGGCATCGATTGACGAACAGAAATCGTATGACAATTAAACCGAGCCAGACGCTTGCCATCACAAAACCGAGCCAGACGCTTGCCACCACCAAACCAACATCAGTCGCGAGTTTTGCGTTAGCGGCGCAGCTTAGAAAAACTCGTAAAACTAAACTAAAAAATTTAGTCATTAAAATACATATTGTATGTTAAGGTTGAACGAGTTGAGGAAAGCTCAGTAGGATTTTTTAAGTCAAATACAAAATTACACGAAGACCATTCCCGTGTTGAGAGGCTGGGGTAACTCACGAATAGAGTTTTATTTTGAGCAACAATTACAAACGCGAAACATTTTTTCAGAATAAAATAGAAAATGAAATTACTTGGTGAGGCATCAGATGATAGAAATTTACCCGTATTAATAGTTAACGATGCAAGTATATTTTGTAAAAAGAACGATATCAATTTGTTGTGGATTGAATGACTAAGTTCACTCGCGCATTAATCGCACGGACAAAATGTCATAAAATCATCAAATGCGCAACGGCAAGTTCCAGGAAGTTTTTCGGTTTCGGATTAGTAAGCAACGAGCTCTCGACCCATGCCATTAATACGTTCTCCACTCATGAGCTTTAATTGCATCACTCGACGTAAACAACCATTCAAAGCATCAGGTTATTGCCTCATTCATTGTTTAGTGGCATTCAACACAAGAGCGCCTGCTTTTACTGCACTTCACTTTAACTTGTTCTGTTGACACATCACTCGGGCCGACGTCAAGTGTAAAAGACTCTTTGAGCTCACACGCGCAGGTACGCAAATGTTAATTAATTACACTATGTTTACAATGGCACCTACTATTAGCTTCGAGCACAAACTTAAATCAATCGAGGTTTGCGTAACGGCTGAAGTGCCATCGCTAAAATATCACTCGACCCAACATAAGCTTTTGTTTGCGAGATTTAGCGAGAAAAAACTATTACACGTTTTTTTGCGACCGGGACAACCTCTAAACGGGTAGATTTAAACTAAATGTATGCATAAGGTCCAAAGAAAATGGACGAACAAGCATTTTTTAGATGATAATTTCTATGATAAAAGATCATATTAAAATAATATTAGTACTATCCAGTCAAGACTGAAATTTTGAAATTTGTTGAGGTTACAAATAGTAAGATCCTCTGTAAATTTTTCTTAATCAAATAACTACAGTAGCTACAACTTTATAGTTCAGTGCTGGTCAGATGGGGCGATCTCAGTTCACAGACTTAATTCTTTTCAATTGCAAATTTAGTATTGTAGTACAAATACAACTACACTGAACCTAATGCTAAGGTAAAGCCGTAAAATATCAAGGATTGGCTGAGAAAAGATGCCGCTTCTGAGGCGCGCTTCTAAGGCACTTACTCGGATTAAATGCCAGATGTTCGAATTGGAGGAATCTGGCCTGGCTCTTGCTCCTAGAAAACAATAACCTCGTGGCATAAGAGCTGAGGAGGAAGAAGGGGCTACATGAGTTTGTAGGAAACTAAAAACTCGGGTTGCTCTTTTTAGTTTTGTTGAGGGAACAATTAGATGTTTTTGTGGAGCTGGTCAATCCGTTTGTGCGGACGACAGCGTGTCACACACATCGTCCGCTCCATCATACCGCTCCGCAAACAAACGCAACTCGCCTTCGTCTCACTCGCCCGATCTGCAGTTGTAACTGAAGCTTCTGCAAATGTCTTTCTCATCACGAGTTCCTTAGTATAAACTTGAGCAAATTTTCTACGAATAAATTCATGAATAACAACTGAATTTTTGGTGAACTTCCCGATCCCGAGATTTCAGCCCGAAGCTTCGGATAACGTTCAACTCTTACGTTTCCGAAACATAACTTCAGTTAATGATTTCCGTGTAAACTAACTCCCAATAAAAAACCGAGGATCAATAAATGTTCCAAATACAAGTCTATGGATATGCGCACTGGTATACAAATTAAGAATTCAAACACTAAAAAATGTATAAGAGCACTTCTCTATAATTGGAATGTTTTGAATCATCCAATGATATTGTGATGAACAATTTTATAACTAAATTTAAGAGGAGCAAAATTTCTGTGCAACGTTAAACGCAAGAATTATTATGACCACCAACTTCATGCGTTTTTTGTATTTGCTCCATAATCTAACCTTTGGTTCAATTCAATAATCATCGGTGATATCATTGATTAAATTGGATAGGAACTTTGTCGCCTCCTAAGTAATATTCAGTAATACAAGAGCCACGATTTTAAATTTCATATAAACAATATTTTTTGGTTATTTTCATAAACAAATTTAAAAAAAAAATATATATATATATATATTTAAGTTTCACATGTGACGTCTTAGGAGGCTGACTTGATTTATCTTCCGTTAAAATTTGATCGCTTCAATGCGTTAAAATTAACTCGCTTAAATCGACGAGGAAAACCTTAATCATGTTCTTGGATGTTGTTTCAAAGCCTGTTTATTGGAGCTGAGAAGGCGGCAGCGGGTAGTTTTTTATTCAGAATTTGTCAATAAATACCTACGTTATAACTGGTGGATGGACATCGGATGACAGCTCTATAACAGCCTTATGACGGCATTAATTGGTGCTGCCTCATCTGTGAAGCTTTCTCCAATATCATCCCTCCAAAAATGAGTTCGACGAAATGATGATAAACAATGCAACCCCAAGCTTTGAAGTTTGAAATGAATTGCACTACATATTTTGGGACGGATTAATTTAGCTTGAGAATCGGTGACTCCCACAACGCGACGTGAGGGACGACGCAGCAGCGACTCCCACAACGCGACGTGAGGGACGACGCAGCAGCGACTCCCACAACGCGACGTTGGGAACGACGCAGCAGCGACTCCCACAACGCGACGTTGGGGACGACGCAGCAGCGACTCCCACAACGCGACGTGGGGGACGACGCAGCAGCGACTCCCACAACGCGACGTGGGGGACGACGCAGCAGCGACTCCCACAACACGACATGGGGGACGACGCAGCAGCGACTCCCACAACACGACGTGGGGGACGACGCAGCAGCGACTCCCACAACGCTGCGTGGGGGACGACGCAGCAGCGACTCCCACAACGCTGCGTGAGGGACGACGCAGCAGCGACTCCCACAATGCGACGTGAGGGACGACGCAGCAGCGACTCCCACAATGCGACGTGAGGGGCGACGCAGCAACGACTCCCACAATGCGACGTGAGGGACGACGCAGCAGCGACTCTCACAACGCGACGTGGAGGACGACGCAGCAGCGACTCCCACAACGCGACGTGAGGGACGACGCAGCAGCGACGTAGGCCTAGTCTGCAAGACGCTGCTGTCGACGCGTCGGTGCCGGTAATCCCACTCTTCACTTCGGAAGTGTCGGTGATTCCCATCATTTTGACGATAGATCGCTCGCTACGTCAGCCGAATATTTGGAAAATATCCTTTGCTTCCGTTGATATGGTGAGATGTGGACGGAAAATCCGTAATAATTCCCTACAAAAAGCTTCAAAAAGTCTCTGGTTTGAATTCTAAATTTTGAAGAATATGAAACCATAGTGAGCTGAGGTGGAATATCTGATCTTGGTTCTACAGAAACACATAGAATATAGAATCGCCCCACAGAGACAGAGAAGATCGTGTATCTCAATTTCAATTTAAATATTGTTTAATTCAATTAACAATTGAAACAATTGAAAGAATTGCTTCAATTGTATAAAAAATAGAAAATTTTTGAGAATATCAAGGATAACCGTGGATCTAATCTGTAATTTTTCTAGATACTAATAAGATATGCATAACCACAGATTGCATACCATCTTACCTTTAAGAATTTCGATAAATTATCTGTCAGAGAATTAGGTTACAAATTCGGTGCACATTTCTTACCTCGACTTGGGCCTGTTTGATGAGATGAAGTGGGACCGTCCTGAGGCAGGTTTTGAGCGGCTCCCCTAAGGGGACATCGGAGCAGTTGAGGGCCCGGGCCACGAGGCGCGTGTATTTCTTGGGGTCCGGCACAAGAGCCCACGGGGCCAACGACGACCCGCTCATCAAGATGGCCCGGTGGATCAGATCTGCACACGAAGCCATCATGTCTGAGTTTTTTTTATTTATTTATTGAAGAAAAGTGGTTACTCCGATGGCTCGAGGAAAAACTCCACATTGAATTAAAAAAAATTGGGGGACGATGCATTATGCCTGAGTCGCGGGGAAAAATAGTCCAGACAAAAATAATTTGATGGAAACATTTTTACGTAAAAGTATCTTGAAATTGATCTATCAGGTCAATGAGAAGAGTCAGCCCACTCAAGTTTTTATTGTATATCTCATTGTTAAGATCTTTATGTACAGCAATACCGAAAACTATCTAGGAAGAGCGAGTTTTATCTAGCTAGCCAAGTTATTTCGAATTAATTCAATTCTAACTGCTCTTCTGATGACGAGCATAGTATTCAATGGGAACTAAATATCTAATATCTATTTATCCGCGTAGTAAGCTGGAGAATAATTAAGGCAGTGTTCTTATAACGGAGTGTAAGCTTAAACCTGCTTAAACACTCCCAACACCCGAAGCGCTTTTCAGTCTGAAATTGGATAAATGCAGAGACCAAATCAATAATATGAATAAATATATTATTTTATACAAATTATCTTCATCATCGAACGTAATTCCAGTTTCCATTCCCTAGCACCCAAAAATTGATTTTCAATTGCTATCGTTTCGTACTCCGAACGGTTTGTGGAAATATCTTATAATTGGAAGAATCTGTTCAAATTTCAAACTTGCAGCTTACATTATAGAAATATCTACAGTACATACATTTCTGACATATTGTAATGACAATTTAAGAGGAAATATTCAAGCGATATACCTACTTTCCATATCCTCCATGTTAATATCGGGGAAACATTCCCATTGCCCGTCAGTGAATATTCAAAGATCTAATACTCTATTAAACACCAAGTTGCAGCACCCCCGACTGTTCATGGTTACTCTGATGACATAATAAATGAATATTCAGCGCCTATAATCGTTGAAATTAATTGAAAAACGATTCAAGTAAGGTCAGAGCGATGCAAACACGGTCCTGAGAAATGAGCTCGAGCTAAATGGACGCAGTGAGAAGGAAACTCGGTGACACAAAAAAGTGAGTGATTATTCCAACATTTGGAGGAAGCTAAACTCGCCGCCATGATGCAAAACTTCCGTGGTTCGGAAAGTTTATGGCTTCAAAATAACCTGGGCCCATACTTTCAAAAATAGTTAAGAGATCGCAAGTTCATCAGCCAATCATTGACGGCCTTTCAAGCAAAATCCACCAATCATAGACAAGAAAATAGAGCGTAAGTGCTTACGTTCAATTAGCGAATTTTGAAAGTAAGGTCCCTGGATACCAGGGTGATCTTAGGGGACCGACGTACAAGTTGTAATTTGAATCGCTCAAGCAACAGTTAGCTTTAATCATCTGCTACAACATTACATAGCTTCGCAGAAGATCTACTCACCACATTAATGAAAAATAATAATTTATCTTTCAAACAATTGAATGAATGGATTAGAAAACCGAAGGCAATCACAAATCAGCCAACAAAGAGACTTTTTTTTGTCACATATATTTTTAGAGAGAAAAGAAGCGAGGAAAATAGATTTGGAACAGCACCCTTCCGGTGATGGAATTTACAAGAAAATAATGCTTAAACTTTCCACGTAAACTCGGAGCCAATATACGTATGTATAGAGCATATACGTATGTATAGAGCATATACGTCAGACTGGAAAGTTACGACAAAAAGCGTGTAGAGCTCAATAAAAAATATCTTGTTCGTTACTTCGAGGTAACGAAAATGTTATTTCCTAAAGAAAATAATAAAATTATTCCAGATATAGAATATTTTGAACGCTGTGACTATCTAACTTAAATAATTATTAGGACGAATTGCAGGCGTAAATTTGAGGTAATAGATAATCGTCTGGAAAATTAACGAAAACGATTCCAACAAAATCAAAGTGAATACGTTGAATAAAGTGAATTATGCTTTAAATAATTATTGTCTACTCCCTTCGACTCTTGAACTTCATATAACAGGTAAAAATTAGTAATAGTTATTACCGGGCACGCTCTCATGGGAGGAGGCCATCCGGTAGCATCACGACCATTACGAGAGATTAACGGCCCTCGATCTGGCATGTTTAATTATCTCAAACAACTGAGCAGTGAAACTCAGCCTCCTGAAATACGGTTATGTCCATCAGCTCTCAGTTCCATTCATAATGGACTGGCCAAAGATACCCATAGCTGGTTCTCCACGAAACGTCACGGTCGCGTATCGAATACCGATGTCAAGCCAGAATCTCAGGACATAGACACGGGAAGTAGTTTCATTCAGAGTCAGGCTGCTACATAAGATGCCACTCGTATACAGGAAGGAACCCGTGCAAGATAGCACCTGATTTTTAGAGGCTTCTCTGTACGGCTCTTAATGCCAAGAAATAATAACTGCAAATTTGCACATTTTTGTGGGATTTGCTCAGGAAAATTTGATTGCTTTCAATATGATATCCAAAAGTAAAAATATAACAATTCGCAGCTTTCGCAGGTTATGAGGTTTTTGAACGATGATGTTAAATTTGCACATTTTTGTGGGATTTGGTAGGAAAATTTTATTGCTGTCAATATAATGTCCGACAATAAAAAATATAATAATCGCAGCTTTCGAAAGTTATGAGGCTTTCAAATGACGATGCACGAGTAAATAATATTTAATTAGCAATTAATGCACTCATGCTTTATGGGCAAGCATCCACAAACTATGCGTTGTGGTTAAACAAGCCAAGATAGTAACCTGCATCTTATCACGCACTGATAATGAACAGAGACCAACAAACGAAATCTTACCGCTATTTTAAGAGAGATCATTTCCAATTCCAGCATTTAAAATGTAGAAAGTGAATGCCCTGCATGAATCATGCCCCGCATCTCCACCTAGGCTGATGCTCTGCTACTCGAGGCCGGTAGTATAGGAGTATTTGCAATACATGTATATAAAATATCTACCTATTTATCATTATATATTTAGGATAGAGATTTTGGTTACAATGGCAGGACCCCTCATTTTGATAGGTTTTGTTAAAAAGGATGTCACTTTTATTAGGAATTTCTCTGTAGTCAAGATTCTCTAAATTCTAATAATTGTTACAATGGCAGGATCAACATATCAATATACGATCTATACATGTACTCTATTGTATAATTATACTATAGAGTATACGCTATACACATGTTCTTATACGACTTACCATTATATATTCAATATATATATTGATGCTCAAGTAAAAGCAGTTCAGCCGAGACGGCGATGCAAGAAATTTAGATAGAGGAAGTGGACATGAATGTTGATGTATGGCCGGCGCTGGTTCAGGAGCAGTGACGCTTACACTGATTTACGCGCGCCGCCGTCGTCCATCCTACGCATACACGCATGGCTGTGCGCAGGCAGTGCTGTGTGCATACGTGATACTGTCTACGTACGTTATACTGTCTACGTAGATGATACTGTCTACGTACGTGATACTGTCTACGTAGGTGATACTGTCTACGTAGATGATACTGTCTACGTACGTGATACTGTCTACGTAGGTGATACTGTCTACGTACGTGATACTGTCTACGTAGGTGATACTGTCTACTTACAAAGCGAAAATTACTTAAAATTAATTATGCTGAAACTAAGCAAGAAAGGCCGGCTCATATTTAACCAGGTTCGCTGCACACGCAGTAGCGTTCATTTTTCTTGATCGTCATATTTGAGTAGACTTGGCATGCAGAGACCCAGCAAGACAAACGACGTAGTTCTTCACAAAAGACTCAGCACGTCTACCTCGACAAATGATCTTCTGGAGAGACGCGGGCAGCGTCTCGTGTTTACGTGCAAGATTTTCTGCTTACGTTCTAGCTAGTTTGGGGACCTAGCATGGGACTTCACTGAGCAATAACCATACCAAAAAAGCATAAATTAAATTCATGCTCCTATTTTTCTTTTATATATTATTAAATTATATTTATGCTCCTAACAAAAGGGCGAAAAAAATGATTGAAGACTCATAGTAACTATACGAATGAAAAGTACAACTTCACGGTAAATTGGCTATGGCTTACTATAATTTATATGAAATCGTTAAAATGAAAAAATTTTGCATCCACAAACAAAAAGGGCGAAATAACTTTCACGTTTTACGTACATCAAAACTCGGCATGTATAACTACCAAAAAATCTCAACACTATAGAAAAAAATCACTCTTTTCCATGCATCACAACCAGGCTGGAAAAAACGACGAATTTTACAGGAAGTTTGGCGGGCGCCGCAAGATGAGACGCTGCACAAGATTGAGGCTCAGTGCACACATGGGGAGGCGTTGCTGGGGCACCTTATGAGCAGTTTTAGTGCCCCATACCCGAGTCTTTATTATGCCGATAAGCAAGTCTTGCCCCAGCACTGGCTACTGACAACTTACCAGACTACCTTGATTTATGAAGCCACCGGCTTAATGACTTAATATGACAGTCTCAGTGGCCGACAAGCCGATAATGGCCATGCAGATTTGAGTGCACGGAGAGGCTAACACATACGGGGGTTTGAGATATATCTTACATGTATTTAACGCAATGCATTACTATGTGAGGCAATAAACGTGGCATTTTAAGACAAGATGAGATTTTTAACAAGGATCATTTGCAAAATCATCACCGATAAATAATTAAATATCCGAGAAAAGAAATATATCGTAATCTATGAATTTTAAAGAGAAAATTATTTATTCACAATCATACTAAAAGAAAAATCACCGCCAAAATCGTTGAAGCCAGCAATACAGAGAATAAATTGCATTGCGGATAAATTTACTATCTCAGAAATCTCAAAAACGTATCCTACAAAGTTTTTTTCAGTGTTCAACGACAGTATTGATAAAAGACAACTTAAAAACCTAAGCCATACAAGGGAATTAAACTTGTGGAATTCTGATCCTAACTCTGCGTGCGTACAAAAATGGTCTTGCAAAGAAGTTAGCATGAG